TTAGGAAGCTGGAGCTGGCAGGGCCAAGGACAGTGGGAAGGTGTCCACTGCTGGACTGCCCTGGCCACCCCAGGCCCAACCAGGGCAGCCTCCATCTTCCTGTGCAGTGGGCCTGCAGCCTCCCCCACCTGCTCCTTGTCAGGGCTGGACTTTGAGCCCCATGGGCCTCTAGGTGGTTCATTAACCCAGGTTGATCCTGAGGCTGGACTTCTGGCCTTTGAGCCTCTGCACTGAACCAAGGTGTGTCCCCGCCCTCAGGGCCTCAGGTCCCACTTGGGGGCCTGTCTGGGGCCTGGTGTGCCTCATTTTACAAGTGAACCTAGAGCAGAGTGAGGGGTCTCCTTGAGGTGGGACCAGAGTCTGCCCAGACACGGGTTTGGGGGAGGGGGTAGCCAGGCCTGAGTGATTTACAAGTGAATGAACAGCTGGGAGGCCAGGCGGCCCTCCGACCCAAGCCCTGCTGGGGCTCCAGGCTGCAGCTGCCCACGCTGGCTCTGGGCGCTTTCCTCCAGCCTCAGTTCCCTTTCCTGCTCGGGAGGGTTGGTAATGGAAAGGTTGGGAGGATTAGGCCAGATAATCCTGTAAACCCTCACCAGCACACCCCGCCTCCTGGTCCCGCCCCTTTCCTTTCCTAACTTTGTCACGAAACTTTCAGATTGTTTCCTGGTGGGGAAGCGGAAAGGCCAGGATTTCAGGGTCCTTTTGGGACGCCCTCTCGCTACTTAGAGCACAACACCTGCAGAGAAGAGCTCCCTGCACTTCCCAGCATAGAGGACTGTGCTCCTCCCGCTGGCTCCAGAGGCTTCTTTGAGTCTGTCTGAATTTGATGCTTGTTCTCTGAGGTTTCTCCCAAGGCCGCCCTAATGGGCCATGCCCGGCCCCTGTGCACCCCCCATGCTTTGAGACGGCCTCAACTGTAGTGACCCCAAACCTGGAGCAAGTTTCCCCCAGTAAGGGTCACGACCCTCCGGAGAAGACAGGTTCTGGCTGAGGCCTGGTGGACATCAGTCCTGAGGCGTAGACCAGGCAGGGAGGCTCTCGGCCCCCTACCTCACGTACATACCCAGTGCTTTCCAGGCGGTGGTGGCCTCCCTGGCCCGCCGGTGGGGTCAGCTGAGTCCTGTGGCAAGCTAGTGGCAGTCAGGAGGACTCTGTGCCTGGGAGCTACGCCCTCAGGCTCAGCTTGGCTCCTGTAGGATGTAGTACCCCTCAGGACACCCCACACTGAGCTCAGACCCCGGAGGAGAAGTGCAGGTGGGAGCTGCTGCTGTGGGAACCACAGGGCCAGACATTCTGACTGTGCCCACCCCCACGTGGCACGCGAGCACCCACCGTGGCACACAGGCCTTTTCCTGACGTGTGTGACCACAGTGCCTATGGGTGTGGGTGGGCCCCCTTTTGTTGGAGACAGTCTCCTTCCTGAGGCTGTTCTGGGGCTTGTACAGCATATACCCCACTGTTCCCTAGGTGGAGCACCCCCATGTCCATCCCTTTCGGCCCCACCTGTCAGTCACAGTGCCTCCGCCTGATGCCACCCCCCTTGACTGTTGTCTGGTCTCCCCCTGGGTTGCCTGTGGCTCAGGGTGGCCTGTTGGATTGGATCTGTCGGAAGTGGAAGTGCTAGGCCGGTCTGCCCTGGTTTGGAGGCTTCTGGCCTCTGTGGCCACCTAGTGGGCAGGGTAGTCTGCAGGTCAGGGGTCGCCACCCACCACCAACAGCAGCAGATGGCTGCCAGGCGTGGCTGACCTGGGGACTGTTCTGGGTCCTCCCAGTCTCCTGCTGGACCAGGCTGAAGCAAATACTTTGTGCGGATGGCTTGACCTGCCATCACCACCCAGACCAAACCGGAACAAACCACTGTTGCCCTTGGTCCGGGGCCTGGGGCTGAGGCTGCCACAAGCAGCCTGTTCTCGGCCTTCTGGGGGGCCTCAGCTGGCTCCTGGCACTGGGTGGTCCCCACAGAACACTGGCCAGAGCTGGGAGGCTGGAAGTCAGGCCAGGAACCCCCTGATGGGGCCCCAGGGATGCAGACTCCATGGACACTTCGGGGACCCTTCTGGTGGGTGCTGGGCTTGTGGGGCCTCCTGAGGTGAACGGGCAGAACTGGACCTGTCTGAGGAGCCAGGGGCTGGTATGGCCAGAATGGGCAGCCGGGCCCTCGAATCTAGGCCACTCGTCAGCAGAATGACAAGTAACAGCGCAACCGACCCAGCTGGGTCTGCACAGTGGGACCACCCACCCCCGTTCCGGGCCCAAGGCCCAGGCTGCCTGCTGCGCCGAGCATTGTCCAGCCCTGGCAGGGAGACCTGCGGGTGATGGCCAGCCCCACCAGCGCTGTGCCCCTGGGTCTCAGGCTTCATCAGCCCCTTGGGGTCTGGGCATGGTGGACATCTGCCTTTGGCCAGGACCCTCCACCCCAGCCTCTCAGCACCTGCAGGGCGAGATGGGCCAGGGCTCCTGGGCATGGCTCTGAGGGTTCTCCTCCACCTCACTCGCTGGCTGAGTCTGGACATCCTCCCCCAGCCTGTGTCCTCATCTGTAAAATGGGGGTCCTGGGCCCCTCACCCACGGGTGTATTGAGACCCCACTGGCCAGACCTGGTACCCTGTCTTCTTGTATTTTTGGTTTTTGTCTTAGTGTATGTTTTCTCTGATTTGCTGCTGACGTGTGGTTTATGTACGAGCTGCTTCCTAAGTCGGGGTGCAGTCTGTCCCTTACCCCGGAGAGCCCCTACCCTAGGCTGGCTGTGCCTGAGTGCTGCTGATGGCAGTGCTCCCTTCCACTGTTGGGTAGCGTCTGTTCTCAGGTCCCGAATTGCTTTTGAATCAAAGCTGGGAGCACCAGAGGGACCCCCCCGGGATAAACTGCCTTGCCCCCTACCCCATGTCGTCCCCACCTGTTTCAGCTGCGGCTGGCTGAATACACCTCCAGCTTTGGGACTGGGTGTGAGGTCAGAGTGGAGCCTGCATTTCTAAATGGTTGAAAAAATCAAAGGAAGGCTAATACTTCATGACACTTAGAAATCTGAGTTTTCAGTGTCCATAAACAGTGTCTTATCTGATCGTGGCCCCACCCGTTCATTGCGTGTTTTCTGTGTGAGCGCCACGAGGGTAGGGTCGCCTTTGGGACCTGCTGGCACAACTGACAGTGTCCATCGCGCTCCCTCCCTGCCCCGGGGACCGTCTGCGGGACCACAGGCTCCTCCTCCTCTCAGGGCCACCTTAGTCCCTGCCCAGCCCTCCAGGCCCCAGCCACCCTCCTGCTGCTGCCATGGTAGGGGAGCCCTGGTGCTTCCTGGGGTGTTGAGACCCCAGTGCTCCTGGTTTGGGGGCACCTGCCTCACAACCATTGTCTTGCCCACAGAGGTCCCAGGCCCTGAGCCCAGCCAACGGGAGCTGGTCTTTGGCAGTGGGGATACTGTGGAGCTGAGCTGTCACCTGCCCGCAGTGGGGCCCACCGAGCCCACCATCTGGGTGAAGGATGGGGCAGGGTTGGTGCCTTCGGACCGCATCCTGGTGGGGCCTCAGCGGCTGCAGGTGCTAAACGCCTCCCACGAGGACGCTGGGGCCTACAGCTGCCGGCGGCCACTCAGCCAGCACGTGCTGTGCCGCTTCAGCGTGCGCGTGACAGGTGAGCGCCCACGGGCCCCGCCCACTGAGCTCCCCCAGCTGCTCCTGGGCCCCAAGGGTAGAGGGGGCACCCCTGAGAGGTGCCCTCTGAGTGTGGACCACCTGAGAGTGCGGGGCCAGCTCCCACGTGCTCCCTCTTGCCTGCATTGCAGATGCTCCATCCTCGGGAGATGATGAAGATGGGGAGGACGAGGCTGAAGACACAGGTGAGACCAGGTTGCGGGCACACGGGGCTGCTGGGGTTGGGGACCTACCTCTCCTCCTGGGGCCCAGCCCCACCCTCCCCAGGTGTGGGGCCCCTGCTTATCAGGCAGGCGAGAGACCAAGGTCTGGGGACTTCCGAGTGTGAGGTCCCCTTAATGTGGGGTGGGGATGGATGCCTAGCCCTCAGCTCTGGGCAGCAGGTGGGGAGTGGGACGGGGACACCAAGAAGTGGGTGAGGAGACCACGCTCCAGGAGCAGCGAGGGGGCTGCAGGTGAGGTGGCCCATCCTACGTGGGTGTACACCAGGGCAGGGAGCCCAGGTGGCTGCTGTGGGGCTGGCAGACTGCGGGGTGTCAGGGGCAGTGGGAGGCGACTAAGGCAGTCCCGGGAGGACAGGAGCGTGGCCCTGGGCACTGGGGACACGAGGTTTGGGCGTATTTACCGTGAAGGTGCATCCACCTGGAACGGTGGGCGGCAGGTAGGCTTTGCCCAGCGGTGAAGGGGCCGGTTAGGGAAGGTGGGGGATTTGGTTTCGGTTTTGGAGGAGCTGAGTCTGACATGGCAGGAGATGGGGAGTGGGGGGCCCGCATGGATGGAGCTCAAGTCTGGCAGACGAGGAGGTAAGGAAGAACTGGCCGGTGGAAACCAGAGGGGGGGTTCCCCGGGAGAAGAGGGAACTTGGGCTCTGTCCTGGAGGTGGGGTGGGCTCTAGGACGGGCAGGAGCAGCTCCGGCCCCAGGAGCTGCTGAGTGTCTCCTCTTTTCCTTCTCCCTTTGGCTGCCAGAAAATTCAGAGTCAAACTCCCGTCCCGGTTGCCCCCGCCACCCTCCTCCCTCAGCTCCTTTTGCCTGCTCACCCTGGCCGTCTCAGGCGGGCGTTCGGTGTTTCTTCCTCTTCCCCTGTGGGCTCAGGGACATCAAGGGTTGCTGGCAGGGGTGCCTTCCAGAAGGCACTTCCCCACTGCATTGAGTCCTGCGGTCTCCCATGGCCTGCCTGCTGGGGTCTCGGACACACACGCGGCCTGGAGCTCTGCTGGCGTCTCTTCCCTGCACTTGTCCACACTACTTGCCGCCTGGGCCCCTGCACCCTCTTTGCGATGGGTGCATGGATGGCAGGAAGGCCACAGGGAGGGGCTGCCTCCCCTGCCCAGCTTCCCAGCTGAGCCCCAAAGGAGGATGAAAGCCACTTGGGCTGTGAGGCTGGGAGTAGGGACAGTCCTGGAGAGCAGGATGGCGGGACAGGCCTCCTGGACTTCATGTCACAGTGTCCCCACCTGCTGCTCGTCAAACTCTGGAGCACTGCAGGGGGTTGGCCGGGGTCTTGCAGATTCCAGTGGGCTCCTGGCCAGTTTCAAGGCTCTGGCTTCTGCAGGTGGCAGGGCCTTGCCTTCTGATCAGCTCCCAAGGCCTGGCTCTGCTCATCCATCTGGCTGGGCTTCCTAACCCAGTGTGGCCTGGTCTGGGTCTGCCCTTTGGTGGGCCTACCACGAAGGTGCTGCCCTGGGTGAGTGGGTGTGTCCTTGCAAGACACCTTTGTGTACCTGAGGCACCCTGGACTCTTTTGGCTGGAGGCTGTGCCTGAGGGAAGTGGACAGAGACATGAGGGGACGTGTGGCCTGGCTCTCGGAATGCTGGGAGATGGTGCTGAGGCTGCCGATACCTCGTCCAGCCCAGACAGGGGTCCTTGAAGGCCAACATTCCCTACACAGGAGTGGGGGGTCAGGTGGGCCTCTCCTCCCCACTCCAGTTGTGGCCTTCACGTGCCCCTCTGCCAGCAGGGGCCCCTTACTGGACACGGCCTGAGCGGATGGACAAGAAGCTGCTGGCCGTGCCGGCTGCCAACACTGTTCGCTTCCGCTGCCCAGCCGCCGGCAACCCCACTCCGTCCATCTCCTGGCTGAAGAACGGCAAGGAGTTCCGAGGCGAGCACCGCATTGGGGGCATCAAGGTGGGCCTGGCGGTGGGCTGGCGGGGGCCTCTGGGCACGGCCAGTGGGGCTCAGCCCGCCGGCCGCTCACCCTCGCGACCCCCTCCAGCTGCGGCACCAGCAGTGGAGCCTGGTCATGGAGAGCGTGGTGCCCTCGGACCGCGGCAACTACACATGCGTGGTGGAGAACAAGTTTGGCAGCATCCGGCAGACGTACACCCTGGACGTGCTGGGTGAGGCCCGGGCTGGCGGGGTGGGCAGCGGGCCGGCACGGGCCGGGCGGCCTCTGAGCGCCCTCACCCCACAGAGCGCTCTCCGCACCGGCCCATCCTGCAGGCGGGGCTGCCCGCCAACCAGACAGCGGTGCTGGGCAGTGACGTCGAGTTCCACTGCAAGGTGTACAGCGATGCGCAGCCCCACATCCAGTGGCTGAAGCACGTGGAGGTGAACGGCAGCAAAGTGGGGCCGGATGGCACGCCCTACGTCACCGTGCTTAAGGTGGGCGCCCACGGACTGGGCACGGGCGGAGGGCCTGTTTCAGGGTTTCAGGAATGGCAGTTGGGGCATGGGCCTTGGACCTGTGGGGAGAAGAAGTGGGGTCGGGTAGGGCCCTGTGCGCACTGGGGCCAGGTCCCAGCACAACAAGCCCTGCAGCGAGCTCTGTCTCCTATCTGCTCCAGGGCTGGGCTCAGCCTTGGAGGTGGGCCTGCAGATGGCCCTGGGGGAGGTGAAGCCCAAGGGCCCAGGGCAGGCAGGTGGCTCCCTCTGGGCCTCAGGCCGGGCAGCTGCCCTCAAACTGGCCTGATGGGCGTTGTCAGGGTGTGCGGAGCCGGGCTCTCAGCCCCACCCGCCTCCCTCGGCCCTTGGGGCAAGACAGCCTCAGCTGTGCTCCCATGGCCCAGGGTGGGGGCCGCCTGAGCTGGGGTGGTTGCGACACTTGCAGCCCAAAAAGAAACATCTGTTTAAAGACAGGATGGGCCTGAAGGGCGGGAGCGGGAGTCCAGACCAGCCGTCAGGGGTGCTCTGTGGTCTCAGCCCAGGGGCATCAATGCTGGGACCCCAGCAGTGGGCAGGTCAAGTGCTCTGGGGAGGGCCTGTCTGAAGGCCACCTGCCAGGGGTACACTCTGGGCTGTTGGGTGGATGAGGAGAAGGCGCATCCAGTGAAACCACAGCCTCTGCTGGGAGGTGCCCCTCGCCTCCTCCAGGCAGCCCTCCTGGTTGGCACAGCCTAGCCCGCTCATCTGCTACTTGGGGATCTCCCACTTCTTGCCTCAGAGCCTCGGGGTCTAGACTGGGCCCCACTCCTGCGCAGCCACTCCCGTGCCTGGCGGGGCTGCCGCGGCCTGAGCTGGGTCTCTTGTCCCCGCAGTCGTGGATCAGTGAGAGTGCGGAGGCTGACGCACGCCTCCGCCTGGCCAATGTGTCCGCGCGCGATGGGGGCGAGTACCTCTGTCGAGCCTCCAATTTCGTAGGCGTGGCTGAGAAGGCCTTTTGGCTGCGTGTTCACGGGCCCCAAGCAGGTAACAACTCTGTCCCATGCCTGCCTGGCACGCCGAGCTCCAGCTCCGACGCCCTGGCCATGCGCCCACCTGCACGCTCGCCGCTCGCTCCCTGCCCCCCAGCTCACACTCTGCTCCCGATGAGGCCACCTCTGCACCTCTGGCCTCCACTGTGGCCGCTGCTCCAAGCCCCTGTGGCCTGTGCTGACCCTCCTGCACCCCTGCCAGCTCCCCTGCAGTCCTGCCCCCTGAGCTGTGCCTGTCTGGGCACTTGCCTTTTGCCTCTCACTCCTTCTCTCTCTCCCTCCCTCTCTCTCCCTCTCTCTCTCTCTCTCCTCCCTCCTCTCTCCTCCTCTCTCTCTCTCTCTCTGTCGTCATCTCTGTCTTTCTCTCCCTCCTGTCTCTCCCTTTCTCTCTGGCCCTGCTCCTGATGCTTGCTCACTTCCTGACTGTCTGTCTGTCGGCCCACCCGCCCTTCTGCCCCCTTGCTGGTGTTCACACTAACCCTGCATGCTCTGCTGCTGGCTGCACGCCTGGCGCTCACTTGGGACAGAGGACTCGCCGGTGGAGGGACTGGCTTCGGGCTCAGTGTGGACGCACGAGGCAGAGGACCCTCGGCCGCCGTGGCCGTGGCCGTGGTGGTGGTGGCGGCGTTTTCCTTGCAGCCTGGCTGGATCGTCGTCGTGTGGACGCTGGCTTTGGTGCCCGTGGGAGGTGCTGGCGCTCTCCTATCGCGTTCTGTTCTCTCTTTGTAGACGGCGGGCGCTAACACCACCGACAAGGAGCTAGAGGTTCTGTCCTTGCACAATGTCACCTTTGAGGACGCGGGGGAGTACACGTGTCTGGCGGGCAATTCTATCGGGTTTTCCCATCACTCTGCGTGGCTGGTGGTGCTGCCAGGTACCGGCTCCTGCTGCTGCTCGCTCTGCACCTGTCCTCTTGGGTCTGCAGCTCAGGACATGCCAAAGCCACCGGGGACAGCCTGGGGACCATGGAGCCCTCAAGCCAGGCCCTGTGCCTAGCATGGGGACAAGTGCATGCGATCCTGTATTGGCCCAGAGGGGCTGCCCTCCAGAGCCCTGTCCTAGCTGGGTCCCCCTCCGCTGGTGCGGTGGCTGTGGCATCTCCTGGGTGGCGGGTGTGGGTGCTGCTAGCTTGCTGGGCTCCTTCTTTCTTGGGTCTGCCCCTGGTGACCTGGGTATTTCTGGCTGCAGACCCTCTATGAGTAGGGCCTTGAGGCCTTGGCACCCCCAGCAGCAGTCTGAGCCCCCCTCCCCTGCCCCCACTGGGCTCTGGCCCGGGGCAGCCCATGGGGGCTCCTGAGAGGCTGGGCCAGGCCCCCAACGCCCGTGTCTTTGCAGCGGAGGAGGAGCTGGTGGAGGCTGGCGAGGCTGGCAGTGTGTATGCAGGCATCCTCAGCTACGGGGTGGGCTTCCTCCTCTTCATCCTGGTAGTGGCCACCGTGACGCTCTGCCGCCTGCGCAGCCCCCCCAAGAAGGGCCTGGGCTCGCCCGCTGTGCACAAGGTCTCTCGCTTCCCGCTCAAGCGACAGGTAACAGAAAGTAGATACCACGTTCCGAGCCTCCTGCCCCCAGTCTCGCGGACCCCTCACAGCCCACTCTCCCGGGCTCCTGCGCTTAGGGCCCCTGTAGTGTCTGGGGCCTGGGGCTGGCCCAGGGACAGCATCTCTGCTGTGGGTAGGCCAGACCCTTCCTTGTCTTTGTGGTCACCACACGGAGCTGGGTTGCTCTGAGCACAAAAGCATATTAAAAAATTCTTCACTTAGTGCCACGTGGATGTCAGACACCCCTCCCAGGCCCATCCTCCTCCTGCCGTCCCTGGGGCTGCACCCTCACCCTCACCCTGACTGTAAGGCCCCGAGACACCAACTTGCCCTTGCTGACCCAAGCAGGTGTCCCTGGAGTCCAGCTCTTCCATGAGCTCCAACACGCCGCTGGTGCGGATCGCCCGGCTGTCCTCCGGGGAGGGCCCCGCGCTGGCCAACGTCTCTGAGCTCGAGCTGCCTGCCGACCCCAAGTGGGAGCTGTCCCGGGCCCGGTCAGTGGCGTGTGAGGGCCCTGGGTTCTCACCAGGTGGGGGCTGGGAGCACAGCACGGGGGGTCCCAGGGTGGGGGCGGGGGCCACCTCTGAGACCTGACTGGATGCAGATCTGGAGTCACGTGGGAATGAAGGCTATTGTGGCCACTCTTGGATGTGGGGCTGGGTTCTGGTTGAGGAGGCTGGGCGCAGTAGGTTGGGGGAGGACCCCACCCCCCAAGAAAG